CCCCAAAACCCCAAAACCCCAAAACCCCAAAACCCCAAAACCCCAAAACCCCTCGTGTCAAAATTGATGGTTATTCAGATATTTAAATTTAATAAACTTATTATGTAAAATAACTTATAAAATACCTCAATTTCATAAGCTTAGATTAAATCATCCATTGAAATAGTTAGTCAAGGGAACTTAGATTTGAGTAATTAATACCTTCTGATATCTCTTACATTAGATTCTCTATCAAACCTAAGATTTATTATGTAATGTTTACCATCACTGTTTGTGTATTAATCCAGACTGTAAATATTACCACATCTACCATAATTTAAATCACTTATGATTGATTTAGCAGTCAATTTTTAACAGTTGATCACTCCAATAGAACGAGAATCCTAGTAAATCAAATATGGCTTTTCATCACTGAAACCATCGATCTTAATTAACGAATTGTAGTTTATACTCCCTGAAGGATTTGGTATATCTTTAATTTCCTTTAGCTTGGATCTATCTATCACTTTGAAATTTTCATTAATAATGCAGACTATAAATAGATTATTTGATATTTGTTGGACATTAAATACTGCCTTTTTAGCAAAAAATTGTTCTTTATAATATATCTGAATATCAACTAAGTTTGCTACTTTAGAAGGATTAATATTGAGCTATGTTTATTTGTGAGTTGCTTATTTTATTTCTACATCTATGAATAATAATAGTCCATCTATATAGCTATTATCAACACGTTTCGCAAACGCCAAACATAATTAGTTTTTATTAGCAACTTATAATCCATCCTATATACTAATTAAGCTCGGGTGCTGATGAGTTAATACTATCTTTAGATTTTAGAAACTAAAGAATTAGATATAGCCATCCTTTTCTAATAGGATTAAATATTCTTTAGGTAAATTCAAATTCGGATCCTCATGCTTGTAGTAAACAAATTTCTACACACACTCTTGTGTATCAATACTCATTTCCTCATTGTATTAATCTTTTTCAAAAATAATGATTTTCTTATCATCCATCCCTAAGAAGAATAGTCCATTAATTTGATATATAGATATTAGCTCTGAACCAAATTTTAAAGGCAATGTATCTTTCATCTCTGAGTCAAGAAGTAATGTCATAGGATAGTTTTATCCCACAATAATCTTATTATCATATTCATTATAGCAGACAATTGTTTAATACTTTTATTAGCTAAACTTATTTCCATTTTTATTCTGTGTCTAAAATATCTATTTCTAATTTATAAGTCCTGCTTCTCCCAATGTAAATTCTTTATTACCCAATATTCCTGCATTTTCACTTACTTAAGGTTCATATGATAAAATATGTTCCCTCCTAAATCATGTTATATAACTCATATCAAACTTTTTTTTCAAGGAGGTATCAGTTCTTTAATCTTAATGATTATCACCTTTTTTAGATTCCTCAGAATCGCTATCTAATCCATCATGATCTTTGAGTTCTTCACTTTCATTGTCTATTATTAAAATTTATGAAATTTATTAAGATCGTTATTTTCCTTTCATTAGCTAATGATAATCTGGCTAGTATTATGATTAATCAACTTATTCTTATTTCTATTTTAAACATTATGAATTTATTCCATTCTATTTATCTGTCAATAGGAACTCATAAGATATGTTTCTTTGATAATTATAGTTATTTTGACTTTTGGACTATCTAGGAATACCATTATTTTACCCATTCTATTATTATTGTTTTTACTTTTAATACCTTTCAATCTCTAACTTTTTAAAGCATGCATTTATCTCCAATTATTTATCAAGAAACCAAATACGATCTTATAGTTCTTGAATTTATATGTTAAGCTTATCTTTTAAATTTTCAAATTGATTCATTTAACCCAAATTCAATCAATGTTGCTAAGATTAATCTTAGTTCTAATTTATGTTATTACTATTCTGAAAATTTAAATTGCTCTATTATAATTAATTGCTTGATTATTTCTGAACCATTTCATCTATATTTTAATCTTATTAAATATTTATCTCAAAAGCTTTCGTTATATTTAAAACAATATCATCTCCTTTATTTTGTTATAAAAACCCACCAAGACTGGAACTTTATGATGTTGAATCTATTGACACACGTTCTATGGGAGATTTTGATACATTAAAAATCATATCAGATGGAATTTCGCTTTTGCTTCCACTCAAATTCCCAATCTTTTAAATAATCATAAAAAGTTCCTCTGAACTCTTTACTAAATTATAAAATTCTTGTTAAACTTCCTAGATTAGCTTGAAACTCAAATCTGCCACTTCTTTTTCTTTTTAGTTCATTGGCTTGTTTGAACTCTCTATCTCTTCAACTTCTTTCTCAGTTTAATTACATATTTCAATTATCTTGTCCTTTAATTAAGGAAAATCTCTTGCCTCTATTTTGATCTGTTTCATTTATATCTTTATCTTAATAATATAAAAAGTTTATTGTATGTATTTCCTACTCAGAAAATATTTATATTTAAGACTAGAGGGGTTTTGGGGTTTTGGGG